ATAAATAATAAAAAAAAATATAGAAAAAAATATGAGAAGTGAAATGGAAAAATTGAATTGTTTTATAGTTTTAAAATAAATTTTTATTTTATTTTAATTTACAAAATAAGAAAAGAGAGAAGAAAACAAACAAAAAAATAATTTTTTTGTCGATTTTTTCAAGGATTAATTTATTATGTGTTTAAGGATACGAAGATTTATTTCATGCCGAGGTTTGTATTTTCTAATTAAAATGCATATTTTTTTTTCTAAAGTACTTTCACAGTATTAAAAAATCTAATATTAATTCTATACATACATAATTACAGTAGAATCCAGTTAATATCACATCGTAAAATGCTCAGAACTTAGGAGTTGTGAAAATAAACAAAAATTTCGTTTAATATCAAACCCTAAGAAAGTAGACGAGGTTTTTTTGGAATTTCCCATATTTTGTAAAAATAAATGGAGTTAAAATAGCTTTTCCAATTAAGTACATATTGAATATTTGGCTGAAAAGAACTATAATAGTAACTGCTTTAACGCGGTTTTTGTATTGTTATTGTAAACAACATAAATTCAGTCAACCAGTTGACAATAAATTTAATTTGACATAAATTAATTAAAATTGATATTACATGAAAAAAAATAATACAAAATGAAATTATGAAATTCCATCTATTGGTTAAAATTGTTAATTTGTATTTGGGGTACAATTTTTAGTTAATATGTAAAGCGACATATGTATGTACTTCAAATGAAGTTAAACATTTCCAAAAAAAAGAGAATCGATGATTTTAAAAGAGTTTTGATAATGGTTGCCGTTATTCGATTACAAATATATGTAATTTTATATATAGAAATTTTTATGTCATGACGTTTATTTGAAAATAATCGGGTTATGAGTTGTGATGCTATGTGATGTTATTTAACGCGGATTTTACTGTATTTTCAAACTTAAATGTTTGAAAATTCAAACAAAAATTAATTTAAAATAATATAAATAAAAACATTTGACAGTAAAAATATTAAAATTTCGAATTTTTCTTTTTTCAAATTTTGACGTCTTTATAAATAAAAATAATCGGATAATTAAAATGTCATAATATATTTTAATTTTTTCTTCACGTTTATTAAAATAAAATAAAAAAAAATTAATTTATTAATAAAATATTTTTTTATTAAAGTGTCTTAAAAATTTAATATGAGCGGCAAATTGATGACGTATCAATATGAAGTGTTGTTATGTTGTCTAGTGTTAGCAAAAATAAAAAAAAAATAGTTCATTTGTTTATTCTATATTTGTATGTATATGAAAGTGATTTTGATTGAATTAGAATCAATATAAATCAAGTAGGATCACACTAATGGTTTCTAGAGAAGAACTTTTTCCTTGAAGAACTGAAAATACTACAAAACATCTACTAGATATTTAATTTATTTACATACCAAAATATAACAATTAACTGCATATTACCGCATAATTTTGTAACATTAAGGATAAGCAAAAGTAAAAAAAATTTTAAAGAAAAGTTGATGTGGTGGTTGAATTACACAGCTAAATTATAGTGAGTTAAGATAATGTCACTTTTTCATGACATGACATGAAAGTGAAAAAATTATCTTCCATCGAAGTAAAGTTATTAGCATTTTATTTATTATTTAAAATTAGCTAATATTAGATTCCCAAAAATAGCCGTCTGTGGTAAAAAAAAAAATGTTATCACAAATTTGAGAAAAAAAAGGATTTTGGATAACGATTAATTTCAACAACTATTTTGTTATTGTAATGTTCAATCCTACTGCTTCAGAATAGGACAATCATGTCGTTACCTTTTTGAATTTGCGTAATTTAAAATAGTAATTTTTAGGCAATTTTAGGGTAACAGCTTTAGGAGAGATAGGTATAGGTAAACATTTTTATAAGAAATAAGTTTATGTATTAAAAATTAATTTTTTATATAAAATTTAAGCTTTCTTTCCAAAAGGTGTAGAAGTTTTATAAACAGACAAATTGACAGACAGACAGAGTGAAATTGGGGTGATTTTGAAAATAAAGATGAACTTTTGTCAAATTGCATCATTATTATTTAGTCCCCAATGTACAAAGAAGTGTCTGTTATTTAAGTATTTAAGGTTTCTTTGTTCAAGAAGAAAATTTTTTTTCGCAATCTAATTGAAAAAATTACAGAATATTCACTTTATATCAAATTTAATTGTGAAAGTGAGTATTTTGGCAGTAATTCTGAGAATCATATTTTTTAATTTTAACTCGTGATATTTTTTAAGTCAACCAGTTAGACGAGGTTGGAAAAGAAAACCCATTTTTCCCATAAATATAAAAGAAAATATGAAAAATTCAATTATTTTGTTTTAAAAGTTGCGGAATTTATTCAATATTACAAATTTTTTTTAGATAATAAAAGAGGAACGTCATATAACGATAAATTTAATTAAATTTGCAAAGTTAATTGAAAAACTTAGAACATCGCTACCAAATTAATTTTAATTTAATTCATTTAAAGTCTTCAATTTTAATTGTACCAATTGCCAATTCTCAATTCTTGAACCATCAGTTTACAATATTTTCAAGAGTATTACTTAAGTTTTACTTCACAAATCTCATTTTTTCATTACACACATACATAGTTATTAAAATTAAATGAGTATATTGCAATTCAAAAAAAAAAACAACTAAACAAAACATTAATCACTTATTTTAAAATATTTTTAATTTACAGACTAAATTTTCAAAAACCTACAGCAGAGAAAATAGTAATATTTTTTTTTTTCTTTTTATAAAAAAAAAAATTGAAAAGTTTGTCAACTACGCAAATTTTTCTTTTTAATTCAAATAAATGAAAATTTGTTATCAAAAAACATTTTATGATTTATGTTTCCTAAAAATTTCAAAAAAAAAAAGAATGTCTGGATGTTACAAATTTCTAAATTTCAAAATTTATATTATTCTTTTTAAAAATAAAATATATATGTAGATACATACACACATACATACAAAATAAATTTTTTGGCTTTTCCAATTGATCTACAAAGCAAACACCACATTTGTTTAATAAGTAAAATACTTACACCTTTGACCGTCTATAAGCTTATAAATGTTTCGAAAATTTTCAAAAAAATGTCTTTGACCTCTTTTTCCAAAAAAAAAAAAAAAAATTCCATATACTAAATTCTATATGACTGCGAATGGCTCTAAAAAAAAGAGTCACCGTAATGACGTCGTTTAGAATTTTTAGTAAAACAAAAAGAAAACGAAAACACTTCAAAAGACGGACAAAAAAATTCTTGGTCTCGTAAGTTTAATTTTTTTTGGAAAATTTTCAAAAATAATTTTTATTGGAACAATTTTTTTTTTATGAGTACTTTGTTACAAAAATATCGTGATTGATCCAAAAATTTTGAAGAAAGAAAATTAAAAGATTTTTAAATAATATTTTTAGTTCTAGAAATAAGGAGCTGTTTGTCATTTAGTCAAGACACGAAATGTATTCGTTACATTATGCTTTCAAAAATCTAAATAACCAAAATTATTTTTTAAAACACTGCACTAAGCAAAAAATACAGCCAGTCCTTTCATATGATTTTTAATTATTTGAGTTAATTGTATAAGTGTAACCAATATCAGATTTTCAATTATTTAATCGCTAGAACTCAAATATGAGCATAGTGTAGAACTAAACTATTATAATGACAAAGGACTTAAAAAAATTAACTGAATTGATTAAGTAATCGAAATAATGCCATCATAATTCTAATGTCATTATTTTTATTAGATAAGCAAATATTTATAATTAATATTTTCAAATTTAAAGAAGGTCTCACTTTTTTTCCTTTTTCACTCTTAGTGAGGAGTATAGGGCTAGTGCATGGTATCATAGGTAAACTTGCCCTACTTTCATTGAGTCACAGAGTTTTAACTTATGACTCAACGAAACGAGAAGGGTTTATTAATTCCTCAAAATATATTCAAGATTCCTTTTCAGCAATATTAATAAATATCGCCTAAATTCCTGATTATTCAAATATTGAACATCTTCAATTGAGAATAAATTTTCATACTGTAACATATTTATAAATTGTTTAAGTGTTTCTTCTAATAACGAATATGAATCTGGTGTTAAATCGCCAAGAATCTCTAAATTTATAATTTCTATTAAATAGTAAGCTAGTTTTTCTTCTTCATCAGTAAAATTTACATTATTATAATTGAATTCAGGTGAAATTATTTCAGAATTAACACGTTCAAATATTTGTTTTATATTATTGCTTGTCTGAGCTTTTAAATTTTCCACAGAACTACTTTGAGGAATGACATCACTGCAGTTGGATTCGTGAATTTCTAGAAAACATTCTTGAGAAATTTCAAATTCTTTTCCAGATTTTTCATTTTTTATATATTTTATTTCTGATATTGTGGGTGATGGTAAATTCTTATTTGTGGAATTAGATGGTGAAATTGACATCAATTTAATTGGTTGATCTATTGGAAATTCTAAAAATGGTTCTTCAAGTTTACCAAATTTATAACATTTTATTAATTTTTTTAAATAAGCATTGCGTAAATATTTATCCTTAATATTTGTACATTTCTCACTGCATAATTTTTTTAACCATATCTGTGCTAAAATTTCAATTTCTGGTTGATTTTTAAAGGCTGTTATAAAATTACGTGCACAATTCAAAATATACAAGAGTTCACGATCTAAACGAATATCAGTGTCGATTTCACGCATCATTGAAATAATTTTGGAAATATTGGATAACATTTAAAATTGCCAATTTGTTTTTCGTTTGTAGTGTTTTCGTGTGCGACGAAATCAATTTTAATTTATTAAATGTCTGCCTATATTTTCTCGTATTTTAATTGTTTTGACAAATAAAGAAAAGTTTCTTTAAAAATGGAAAAATTTTTACTAGAAGAATTAATATTATTTTATAATATTATTAATCATTACAAAAGAATAACATATTTAATTTATTTTTTTTTGTTATAATTTCAGGTCGAACACCAAAGACATCTACATCATCATCACCAGAGAAGAACGACAATGATAATTCAAGTCAATACGCATCAATTCATCCAAAATCAGTTACCAAAAAAACAAGTATTTCAGTGAATATTCCAGCAGCTGGTTTAGGTTCAAGACCAGCTAGTACAATTAGTTCAGTTAGTACATCTGATGAAGGTGGTTTTAATGAACCATCACCAGAAATTAAAGCAAAATTAAAACCAGCATATATATATGATACACCAGCACAAACAGTTCCATCTCCACCACAAAGAAGTCCATCAAAAGAATTTAAAATTGGTTCATCACAACAATCACAGGATAACATCACATATTTACAACAGCAACAACAGGAAAAAGAACAACAAAAAAATCTAGATATAGATGATGAACAGAAAACAAGTTTAACATATGCTGATGTTGGTTTTCGTTTAAATCCAGATGGTAGTGAAAGTAAACCAAGTTATGGTGAATCAGAACTTTATCATACAGCTACAGATATACCAAAAACACAATTTCATTCCAATGTATTCGAATGTAATAAATCATCAGTTGTTTATGCATCAATAAAACCAGAAATTCCTCCACCATCAGATTTATTTTTTGATAAAAAATCTAATGATAATAGTCATAGAATTCCGACAACAACAACAACAGCAACAACAGTAGCAACAAATAATTATAATAATAATATAAATAATAATAATAACAACAATAACAATAATAGTAATTTTAATTCAAGCACAAATGATACAATTTATAACAACAGTGAAAGAAAATTAATGTCACCAACAAAAGTTATTGAAAATCAACATAATCATCATAATAATCATCAACATAGCCAACAAAATTTACAACAGAATAATTTTAATGAAAACGAATTACCAAATAGTCCAAAATGGAATGATGATTCAATAACATCAAAATATTCAAATAGTAATAATTATAGAATAAATACAACATCATCATCATCATCATCAATGTCACCATCATCAACAGTAACAACAACAACAATAAATACAACTGCAAATGTAGTAGCAGCAACAACAGCAGTAATAACAGCAACAAAAGTTCCTTTGAATACTGAAGAAAATTATGATCATAATGATCATAAGAATGATGAAGATTATAAAAATAATTATGACGATGATGATGTCGATGATCTCGATGATTTAGAATTTCATAGATATTCAGATCAATGTCCAACATTACCGTTACGTCCACCACCACTGCCAATTGGTCCACCATTAGATGTTAAAGGTATTGATGATGTACAATTTGCAGATGCAAGTGATGGTGAAAATGATGATGATGTAAATGAAAGAGAACAAAATAGTTTACCAGATGCGATGACAGCCGATGAAGCTGAAAGATTGTTGAGCTCAAGGTGAATATTTTCTTTATTTGCTTATATTTTGTTGATATTACATAAATTTTGTTTTTGTAATTTGTTTTTGTGTGTGTGCATGTGTTAATTGTAAAAATCGCTCTTTTATTTATATCTTCTTTTTTTAATATTTACAAAAATATTAATAGAATTTGGAACTTAGTGAATTTAGAATAAACAACATCAAATTTGAATCAGTGAGTCTTTGCTTGCAATCTAATGAAAATTTGATGTGTAAGTGTGCATGTTTGACGTGTAAGCTCTTGTAAGCAACGTATGTGGCAAATTTTGACTTTAGATTGTGTGCATCATAGAGAAATTTGAATGCTATCAAATTATGATTAAGGGCGTTTTATTATTATATGAGTAACAAGAACGATTTTCGGTAATTGTTGTTAAATAAATTTTCTTGTAATTTTAAAGAGCAAATAAATACTAATAACTATACTGAAATTTTTCCAATGTTGCTCTTTCTCTCTTTTCTTTCTTTATGTCCATACCTAACAAATATAATGATGTCATGGAAGTGTTATACAATTTTATCTCATTGATTATTTTCTTAATTTGTTTTTATGTTATTCTTGTATACTTGACCTTTAAAAAGTTTTCTTAAACGCATCACAAGTGCTATAGTAGAAATAATACAGAAATTCAAAAGATGTTCATTCGTGTATCTTAAAAATGATATTAAACTAGATTTTATGAGGATAAGAAAATGTTATGCCTAAAAGTATTTAAACAGATCGAGGATCTTATGAAAATAAAGAAGAAATGAAAATTGTAATGGATTGTATGCGAGCCATTCTCTACTCAAGAAAACTTAATTTTTTATCACGCATTTTTAAACACGTTACTCCATAAGCTACTCCATATTAATATTTTGCGTATCATAATTTGAAATATTAATATTTTGTTTTCATAAAAACCACATTATTTTTTATAATTTTTTGTATTTTCTTTAATATACAGAGTGTTTTCTATTGCTGTTGTGCAGAAAATTATGAATGGTAAGACTTTTGTATGCTATTCAACCGGTTTCGAGTTACGAGAATTTAAAATTAATCTTGTCTGTTCCTTAACGTTAAAGTTACGTTACCTGTAAAATTAGGATTTTTTTAAAATGAAATTTGAAAGGTCAAACTTTTCGAACTTTAAACTTTGTGATTTCGATATTTGAAAACATCTTATCTCAAGTCTTATCTAATTTTGGCATATTTAATTATACGTTTATTTGACATGGAAGTTAGCCTAAAATATCAGAAAGTAAAAAAATTAATTGAATTTGTATTAATACCCTAGTATCTCAAAACCTGTTGATCTGTCAACATTGGCTCCATGCGAAAGTTTTACCTTCTGAAAATTTTACCCTCTAACAGCTAAGATGCATATACAATAGAACTTCTATGTCAAACCCTGTAAAAGTCAGAAAAGATAGATATGTCGAGTTAGGGGAACTAAACTATAAAAATTTCCAAGTGCCAAGTAAATAGAAATATGTTTTTCGATTTAAAGAAAAATATCGTCTTATAGATAATACGGGATAGAGAAATTTGACTGTAGTAGTGTCTTTAGAAAACGGACACCCTATATATAGTAATAAAAAAAGCTAACCAATTAAATTAAGTGAAGGTGTGATTTTAGAATTTTATTCTGAAAAAATTGATTTTAAATACGAATTTAAAATTGAATCCCACGAAACTTTGATTTGCGTTGTAATCGACTAGTTTCTTCAGTTAAATAACTTAATAATTATTTTATTAGTGTCGGAACATTTTATGCAAATAGAATAATTAGAGAATTTTTAATTTGTAAAAAACTGTTCGATTTAAACCCGGCCATATTCCAGAATACTACTATAAAACAGTTTTTGCTTTGTCTGACCTTGTCAGTTTTCAATGAGTTCAATATTGTTCTCTCTCTCAGAAAACTGCAGGTCCTTGTAGTTTTCTGAAGCAACGAATGATGAATTGGCGTTAGAATCTGTAACTTATTGCTAAGGCACTTGCTTGTAACCAGATGGAACGTACCAAATTCAGTATTATTTCTTTAACTCTTTACCAACTAAAATTTTGGTTATTTTCATCTTACGGTATTCGCGGCAACCTAAACTATAACATAACTTACTTACCAAAATTAATTCGATTTCATTTCTTTTGGAATTTGTTACAAAGTACCAAATTTATTATTCGAGTTTTGGAATAATTCCACATTAAATTTCTGAATATAAAACCGAAATTATTGTTTTTTATTTTTTGTTAAATTTTATTGCGTCGCATTTTTCAAGTTTATTGTTCAAGTAGAATGTGAGAGAAAATAAAAACAAATTTTTTTTTTATTGGATGGAATGAATAAGAAAATGAAGGTTAAGGATGTTGTGGATGATAACTATGATTTATTGATCATTATTATCCTCTAAACAGTTATTTTATTTCATTTTTTTTTTTTTCGAAAAAGATTTTATCCATTTCATTTGGCAATAATTTATTTAGATTATAATAAAGAAAGAGAATATTTTTTTTTTTGTATATTCTCTGTTAAAATAAAAATTCACTTCTAATTTTCAGTTTATTTTTCATGTTTGTATTATAATAATATGCATATGTATATGAATGTGTATTGATGCATATTTAAATGTAGCCTTGACCCGTTTCTTAACGATAATAAGTTTTGTCGGAATATAATAAAAATGGTATATAGAGAGACAAATTTATGGTTATTGCTTTGTTATATAAGAGAAATATTTACATATATTTTTTTTTCATACAAATTATAATAAACAAGGTATTCAGCGCCATACAGTGACAGTGATTTTCAATTTTGACAGTAAATTTTTATTCTTTAATTAATATTTTATATTTTGATTGCGTACGACATAAATGAACATTGCGTATGACATATTGAACAAAAATATCCATGCAGTTTGGCATTCGCTGCAAAAAACCGTAATATATTGTTTACAATAAGGAAAACATTAGAGGTCATGTGAAAATTAAGCTATACTTTTCAACAGATTTTAAATTGAGATTGCCATTTTAAAATTTTACAAACATCAAATATTGCAATATCAAATATATTGCGCCATTATCAAATATTATGCATTACTGTATTCCAAATTTTTCAATATTCATAAAATTTCAAAATTTTTCTCAAATTTCTGTCATTTTAATACTATTAGTTTTCAAACTTTCGCTTTCAATTTTGATCAATTTTTCAATGATAACTAATTGACGTTTTCGATATTAGGTAATTTGATAATAATATTGTAGGAGTTGATGTCAAAAATGTTTTTGTCTAATATTTAATATTTATTAATTTTTATTCATTTCTATTAAACAATTAAAGATTTTATCATTTATGTCAGCTTTACATTTTGTTTTGTATCGTCATATCAACGTAAACGTCATTTCAATGCGATATTTGACACTTAGCTTTTGTTTATTCTTGTCATTAAGTATTTATGATTAAGAACGTGTAGTTTTATATTACAGTGTTTGATGTGAATTTCACTAAGAAAGTTATTTACCCTTTAACATCCACTGGTACTTAATAAAAATACGAAACTATATTTAAGTAAATTTTCTAAGTATATCAAATATTCATCAATATTTTTCTATAATTTTAGTTCAGTCTTCACACGCATATCTTACTTAATGTTCTATATTCCAATACAAGCTCAATATTAATTTTCTTGTATATTTTTTTTTCCATATTTACAAGGATATTTCATGTTTACAATATTTTTATTTTGAGAAAAAAAAATATATGTATAATTTTAATACGATTTTGCATGTTTTGATGTTTTATTTATTAAACAACATTGAAGCTATTTTACATGTATAAATTGGAATTTCTAAGAAAAATTAAGGGAGAAAAAAATATGTTATTCGAGGAAAATGTTTCATCTTTGTTTTTTCAAAAATATTATATGCTTGTTGTTTAATACGTAATTTAATATTTTATAAAAAAGAGAGAGAAAAAAAAATATTAAAATTCTTGGTTCTTTTTCAATTCAATAAATTTCTCAAATAGGATTTTTGGGCCCTTTTTCTATCTATTGAACTTAAAATAAAAAAAAATCTCATTAATATTATTAAAACGATTGAATTATTAATTAATTAGAATTAATTAGAATTAATTACAATTCTCTCTCCTCTAAGATGTTTTAGAAAATGTAGTGGTAAAAAATTTTCCCCATTTTATTGAATTCCTTAATTCAATTTAATTTATTTTCTCATATTGAAAATATTTGAGTTAAAGGTTTAATTTATATATAGATAAATTATTCAGCACCCACAAAAAAAAAGTTGAGAAGTCTATTCAAACCAATCCGAACCAAAGTCGATTAATAATTTGAAACTAAATCCTTAAAAATCTTATTTAATTTTTGAATTTTTTAGGATCTGATAACTAAAATAATTTGCCTAGAAATTATGCGCCTGTTATTATTATGTTTTTGTCACTTTTTAAATTAATAATCTTCTTTCTATTTTAATGTAACAATATCTCTGATGAATATTTAATAAAATTTGTTATAGAACAAAATTTAATGTAATACGTTTTTTATGAAATCTTGAACGAGCTCTTGAGGAAATGAAATTTCAAATTTTATACCTATAACAAGTTTTTATAAGCTCAATCTATCTTGGAAAACTGCTGTTATATAAAAACTATTTCTTTCAAAAATTCAATATTTAATTTCTGTAGACGAACATTTAAGAATTACACAGCTCTTTTGTTTCTGTACTACAATGGTATGAAATTCGAACGATTTCTGATATATTGCTAAAATTTTAAGTCATATTTGTTAAGCTTGAAACCACAAATAAACACTATTTTTGAAATATAACTCAAGTAGAATAAATTTCTTTAAAATATGGATCATAAAATTTTGGCTTATAATTTGAATATTCCTGATTTATATTAAAAACATTTTTACTAGTACATCTTATTTGGATGTCTTTATAGTAAAAAGCAAAGTAACAACTGTAATGGTTATAAAA